TGACTATGACTTTTATATATGTATATTTTAGATATATATTTATATCTCATACACATGAGTTTCAGAAACTCCTGAGTGAATCTTCTAATCTAAAGATAAGCTCAATTTTGGCAATACATTTTTCAGTTAACACACTAAAACCCACTAAAATTATTAAATGCATTTTGACTTGGCTATGATAGGTAGAACCATCTGGGTTTTGTCATTTGCATAATATATGGAAGTAAGTTTAAAGCATTTTTTTACCTTTACAATATATAAGTTAGAAAAGCTTTATTTTATGTATTATGGAATCTTAATGAGCAGATGGTCTGTCTTATGACTGCCAAGTTAAAACCCTTAGGTAGTTTTTGGTAACTTCTAATATGTTAACAAGGAAAGTTGTATTATGCCATGCTGTTACTTTTTCATCTCAAATTGTAATGCTAGGGGATGATTTTATTTAATGAAATCTCATTTTTTTCCCTGATATAGTAGTTATGTTAAAAACTAAACACATTTTTAAAAGAAATTTTGACTAACCTGTCAATTTGGGAAAACAAGTAACAACTTCAATAATGACAAATTTACATCCTGACCTCAGTAATTTTTTTCATTTTTAATATCATTTGCTGGAGTACATATTGAAGCTAAAAATAAATTGAAGCGAGTCAGCAATCAGTAAAAGGCATTACATAGAACACACAGCTTTTCAGGTTTCAGTTCTTGGTTCTACAGTGCTGCTTTGTCAGGAACAACTAAGAATGCATAATGTTTTGAGATTTTTTTCCTTTCTACAAAAATTTAATAACACAAACTATTGACTTTCACTCAAGAATAGACTCTCACTCAAGCAGTAATCTAATGAAACTAGATAGTTTTGTTGTTTCGTATTTATGACTTATGTTTTGAAGCCATGGTATGGTTGTAAGTAGTCTGATTTTTACATTTATTTTTAATTTTCTCTGCCAGTTTATGTAACAAAACTTTGTGTACATGCTGTGGTGATGTCTTCATGAAGTGAGAGAGATCTATCTAGGGTGTAAGATACAGACTTTTGTTATCAGATCTGGAGCATAAAGAGAAGACATGTATGACTGATAGAGCTGCTCTTACAAGTCACTAGTGTACGTGTAGTTACAACTGCAAAACAGAAGTTTTACTATAGCTTATTTCCTTTGCACTTGGCAGTGGTGGTGTAAATGCAGTCTTTTCTGTTTAGTCTTGTTGGTGCTAATCTTTAGCATTGTCCTGCTTTTCAGCCACGATAGTTAATTTTCACAAGAAAATGGGAGGGACATAGCCAGGACAGATGATCCAGACTAGCCAAAGGGGTATGCCATACCATATGACAGTCATGCTCAGGATAAAAAGGAGGCTTGGCCAGGGAGGAGCAGCGGCTCTGGGGATGGTTAGGTGTCCAGTCATCAAGTGAGCAAATTGCATTGTGTATCACCCGCTTTGTGTATTCTGTTATAAGTGGTGGTGTTATCTTCCTCTTCCTTTTCTGTCCCAGTAAACTGTCCTTACCCAAACCACTAATTTTACCTTTTTCTTCCCATTCTCTTCCCCATCCCACTGAGGCAGGGAGGGGTGAGCAAGCATCTGCGAGTTGCTCAGCTGCTGGCTGGAGCTAAACCACAACAAGCATGTTGTTTTATAAATACAGTGTACTAGTAGATGTAGTATTGTAGCTTAAAAGATGGGAGTTTACTTATGTTAGTCATTCTCTGTCCACAAGAGAGAAGTTTTGTGGTGGTAGCTATATCAGTATAAAGACCCTGGGAGAATGTTTGTAGAGTAGATGAGGTTCAACCACACCTGGAACTGTTAGATGTTACTCAGTTTTTAGCTTTGGTTCTTTAGTGTGGTGCTATCTTTCAAATTGCTTATAAAGTATGGACTTGCATACTATCTACACCTGCTGGTGCATATTTATGTCAGAAAGGTACACAAAAGTGAATGATAAATATACTACTCAATTTTCTGTGAACACTAATTACATTAGATTCAAATGCCTACAAATACAATAGATGAAACAGCTTTTATTTGAGACTTTATACCCTGAGTAAGTGTATTCTGATATCTTATTCAGAAGAATTGTTAGTGTAATTCACAAATTACCTTGTACTCAGAATTAGTGATGATGAATGTCATCCTTCTTTAGCAAAAATGTTTTCTGTTGCTCTATATTCAAGCCCATTTATTCACAGAAGTTAATGAGAATATACTAAAAAGATAACGAGAGACACAAAATTTGTATCAGTAATAATCACCTTCTTAACGTTTGTTTTGACAACAGAAATTTAACTGCACAGATGTGGCTCGTTAAAGTGATGAAATAGTAATACTTTTGGAATTTTTGAAATAGTTTCTTTGTTGTCAGTATTTCACTGTGTTTAATCACCAGGGATGCTCTCAAACTTCTGCAAGAGAAGCAGAAGGGCAAACCCAGTGAATTGAAACCTGTGGTTTCTCCAGCTCCTCCCCAGCCTACTGCAGTGCATTCTGCTTTGCAAGCAACAGCTGTGACTTCTGCTTATCCACGGCCAGCAGTTCCACCAGTTTCCACACCAGGACAACCCGCTGCACTGGTAATGTTTCTATTAAGTCCTCAACATTGCTACAGCTAAATATTGGCATGGCTACTTAAATAGGTATATGAGATTTCCAGAACTGGAGAGACAAAGGAAACTAAGGCTACCCAGATGCCAAGCCCAGTCACGTGCAGTTTGTAGTATGTTTGAGTGTTTCTAAAGCAGTGTAATTCAAAATGCAGAGTTCTCAGAATTACGGTCTGCACACTATTTTGTGTAACTTGCAAATTGAAGCCATGAAAAAGTTTACGTTGCAGGCCTTGGAAAAGGGAAAGTCAGAGAGGCAGCAATTTTATTTCAGTCCCCAAAACAGAAGATGCCACTAGTTTGGAAATCAACAATACACCCTTTCCCTCAATCCCTGAAGGATCAGTGTGTCAGAGTGTATTTCCAAACTCGGAAAAACTTGAATCCTGATGTATTTTTACTGTTGCTTTCTTGCAATATATGTAAATGTCCACTGATGAGTTATCAAGAAGCGAGGAAGGAAAGGGCTTAGTGGTTGCTTTGAAGAGTAATTTGCAAACTCTAGCACCTAAATACAGTTTCTATGTTAATCTGAAATTCAGAAATACCAGAAATTATTTTTTAGAGAATAAATGCCCATGCTGAAACACACATTAGTAGAAATTGAAAAGCTTTTGTGAAAAATGGAGGAAAAACCTTTCTGGCTCTAGAACTAAATTTGAAGTAACTTTAAAGGTTGAAATTTACAATGTAGTGACAATTCATAATATTCAGAAAATGCTGCTGGTGTTGTACTGTAGAAAGAAGCAAACAAAGCGCAGAAAGCTCAAACTTAAATATTTTTAACATTACAGATTAAAAAATGTTTCTGTGATTGCACCAGACATACATATTGCAATTTCTTCTGTGTTGCGTACTACTCAGTATGTAGTATACCTGCTATAGATTAGGTATACAAAATAATGTTTTACAGAATCACTTATCTTCTTGTTTTCTGTAGTCACTGATATTTCAAGAGATTCCTTGAAAGTTGACTTGCTTCTATGAACAAGGTGGGAAAACTTCTGCATTCAAATATTACTGAATATATCTGGAAGGAGAGAGAAGAATAACAAAAAGGAGATGCAGTAAAGCCTGTCTTAAGGAGCCACCCAGGGGACTGAAAAAGCAGTATCTTACTGACGAAACATTCTATTATAATTTAAAGGGAACAAAGCATATTCTGAGCAATATGCCAGCTCTGGCAGATGGAACAATGCTTCTATTCTCTGACAGAGAATTAATCCCTGAAGATTTGAAATTTTTTTTTTTTTTGGAAGCAGTCTGCTAGAATAGTAGGAATCATAGAATCGTAGAATGGTTTGGGTTGGAAGGGACCTTAAAGATCATCTAGTTCCAACCCCCCCTGCCATGGGCAGGGACATCTTCCACTAGACTAGGTTGCTCAAAGCCTCATCCAGCCTGGCCTGCACCACTCCCAGGGATGGGGCATCCACATCTCTCTGGGTGACCTGTTCCAGTGCCTCACCACCCTCACAATGAAGAATTTCTTTCTAACATCTAATCTAAATCAACCCTCTTTTCAGTTTAAAGCCATTACTCCTTGTCCTATCACTTGTAAAAAGTCCTTCTCCAGCTTTCCTGTAGGCCCGCTTTAGGTCCTGGAAGGCTGCTATAAGGTGTCCCTGGAGCCTTCTCTTCTCTAGGCTGAACAACCCCAACTCTCTCAGCCTGTCTTCATAGGAGAGGTGCTCCAGCCCTCTGATCATTTCTGTGGCCCTCCCCTGGACTTGCTCCAGCAGGTCCATGTCTTGTACTGGGGACCCCAGAGCTGGACACAGTACTCCAGGTAGGGTCTCACAAGAGTGGAGTAGAGGGGCAGGATCACCTCCCTCGACCTGCTGGTCACAGTTCTTTTGATGCAGCCCAGGATATGGTTGGCTTTCTGGGCTGCAAGTGCACATTGCCTTGTCATGTTGAGCCTCTCATCAACTAACACCCCCAAGTCCTTCTCCTCAGGGCTGCTCTCAATCCATTCTCCGCCCAGCCTGTAGTTGTGCTTGGGACCTTGCACTTGGCCTTGTTGAACTTCATGAGGTTCACATGGGCCCACCTCTCAAGCTTGTCAAGGTCCCTCGGACAGCATTCCTTACCTCCAGTGGGTCAACCACACCCCACAGGTTGGTGTTGTCGGCAAACTTGCTGAGCATACACTTAATTCCACTGTCCATGTCACTGACAAAGATGTTAAACAGTGCCGGTCCCAATACCAACCCCTGCGGAGGATTAATTCTATGCTGTAAAGTGAAACTGTCTTTATTCTATAAAACCTGTTGTGTTGATCCAAGTTAAGTTGAATAGACTAGAACACCCAGTGGTCTTAATCATATTAATTTCAGTAGTTGGAACGTATTGCTTTTTGATATTTAGGGTATAGTTGAAGAGCAGGAGTCACTGATGATAACGCATCAGTGCTGGAGTCCTGTTTCAGCAAAAGGGAAGTATATTTGCTCTCTTGGTATTAAGTATGCTGCATATGTTTTCTTTTAGGGCACATTCACAGAAATCCCAGCTAGCAACATCCGAAGAGTTATTGCTAAGAGATTAACAGAGTCCAAAACTACTGTACCTCATGCATATGCTGCTGCCGACTGTGACATTGATGCTATTTTGAAATTAAGAAAAGAATTGGCCAAAGGTTAGTAAATAAACTGATTTACTATAATGTGTGGAAATAATAGTTTGTCTTCTTTAAATAATCTTGCCCAAGAGGTGTAGATTTTTGTATAATCAGAACACTATGCATTCAAAAACTCTTTTCAGTATTCTGTATGTTGGACTCAAGCTGTAGTTTCCTCCGATTATTGAATTGGACAACTTACCAAGATATAAGAAGACAGAGGTGTTACTTTGCCAGCTAACACAACATGCTGTAGGCAACTGCAATTTAACAAAGGACTATGCATTGTGCAGTAGGTTTTTGTTTCCTTCCATCCAGATGCAGCAATATTCAACTTCTTGATGGTTGAAATCTCAAATTATTCATGTGAAGGATTATAGGGGAAGCTTTAAATTAAAATACATTTGTGCTCTGTCCTTCTAGATACAATGTTAAAATTTAGTTTTGCTGGCCTCTTTGTTGAATTTACTGGAAAAGGAAAGCTAATGCAGCTTCTCAAATTCTGAGTGAGAATGGCTTTATCCATGCTGAGGAAGGAAAGAGTTTTTAGTATGTGCCAGCCAATGCATAGTAAATTCCTCTTGAAGGCAAAGTAATGGTATTAATGTGAAGGAGGTAGGATTATCTCTTTCACTGAAATTTATATATATGCTTAAAGCTACGTTAAAGCTGTTGGAATAGAAATCTGTCCAAGGGAAAGATGTATAATTTTAAAATATACATTGAGAATTGGATTAAATGACAGACATGTTTATGTATAAGATTAAGAAATCAAATTTTCGCTTTTTGTCTCAATTTGTATTAACTGAAGTTAAGTTACAAAAAGTTTTTGAAGTTTAAGGTCATAATCAAAGATTGCTTTGTTTTTTCTAAAACTTTTTATTTTTGCTAAAATCAGCTGAACATACTGTACAATAGGATGTGTTAATAGTTTCAAAATTAACTATGCAGACTAGAATCTTCTTTCCCAGATCTCAGTTCAACAAAGTGTATATTACATGCATTTAAAAAACCAAGAGGATTTTTCAATAGAACACTCTTCAGGCAGGTACTTCATTTTCATGCAAAATATCACAAAGGTGTTGTTTGCTGAGTATCTTTTTGTTTAAGGATTTCTACTTAGTTGGGTGAGAAAACTGAATGAAATGTTTTCTTACTTTAACATCATAATCTTCTTAATTTAAATAAATTCTATTATATTTAGAAATATTTGGTCAATATACTGACTTTAATGTCTACAGGAAGTGGCTCCAATTTCATAGTTTGTGAAGGTATTGAACCAAATCCTGTGGAAACTCTTTAGGAATACATTGTTTTGTATTATGTCAGTTCTTGCAAATGCCTGCAGTTACTATCATTTTTCCTTCTTTTTCTTTTTTCTTTTTTTTTTTAATTTGGTAGCTGGTTTAATATTCTGTAAAGAGGACACCAACACAGTACAATCTATTTATAAATACCAGTGCCAGAAATATGGAAACAAATGTTTTTCTAAAATGTCAACATCTGTAAGTTAATTTGATCAAGCCAGATTTACAGCTGAGTAGGTTAGCTAGGGCATCTTGCTCTTCAGTAACTCATCTTAAGTTAGAGGATTTTAAAAAAATTTTATCCTTTGACTCAGAGATATTTAAGCCTGAGAAAAAAATTATTTTGTAATGTTTCTTTTTTCCATCATGCTTATAAAGCTATTTTCCATTAAATACACATCTTGAACAAGAATTTAAAGGACTGTAATGAAATAAAATCAGAGAGAGAATTGTTGAGCAGTTGCAGTACAAGACTGTATTTTTCTCTGCAAGGTCATATCTCTGTCACCAATCTGGTAAGCTGCGGAAAAACATCAATGAATGAACTCGCTGTCCTTTTTCAGTTGCATCTTCCATCTTATCTCCTAAGATACTTGAAAGTTATAGATTTTTGGCGTTACTCTTCTTCATGGAAAAGCTGGATTAAATAGTTGAAAACCTGTGCTGTGTGTTTCTGCTTCTGTAGTATCCTTATTCCCTCTGATGCCAAACCTTGAGTTATTTTAAGCTGTTCCAGTCCGCTGATACATTTTGGCATCAGACCTGTAAAACAGTTATACAAGCACAATTGAGGTGCTGTTGCAAAAGTAGGAAGCAGTAGCTGAGGGGAAGGGAGACAGGCCTGGGTGGTGGCAATGCCTGCCTCCAATTTCCTGCTTGTCCATGGAGCTCTAACTAATTCTAATACGTTGAGAAATGAGGTTTGACCGCAGCTGTCCAGGAGGAGTAACCTTCTCAGGAAATCTATCTCATTTTAAGGCAGAACTTGAGAAGTTAGTCAAGATCATATAGTAAGATTGACTGCAATATCTGTAGGTGATTCTTCTGATCTTAAGATTCTATAAAATGTCTTAAGTTTCTACAAAATGTTTTAATTTCTATAAAATGACAATATTTCTAGTTTCTAAGGTTAGCAATGTTTTTTATTGAATTGACAATATCTGCTTCTCCTTTCACTGGAGTTTTGAATGACTGCTTTTTAATGCAAGAGTACCGAGGTCATTTTTCTACTTGACTTTTTTTAAATGATTCATTTATTCACAAGTTAATGTCAAAGACAGTTTATGATGTTGATATTTTCTTTAAACAGCAGCAGTTCATAAGAAATTAAGTAAAAAATTGTCTTAGGAATGCTCACTCAAAATTTTTCACATCTCTCTTGCTGCTGTGGATTCTTAATGAATATTTTTTAAAAATGTAGAGGTGGGAAACAGCAATATGTCTTTGCACAAAATTGAATTGCAGAGATGGAAATTACTTTTTTTTTTCTGATGGAAATGATGGTGGTTTCTACTACATAATGAGATGTAATGTGGAATTTTTATGCAGCATACCCTGTTGTAAGCTGCTTTGTTTTGGAGGTAAAATATAGCAATTACCCTTACTGTCAACTTCAATGATTGAGGGTAAAATATTATCAGATACACTTCATTTAACTGTACTCCTATATTTTCACCGTATTCCTGCCCCCCTAGTAGACAGTGACATGCCAATCATGGCAAACGTTTCAGGTTAATTTGGGGGTGGATACTTGGTTCATTACTCCAAATTTATGATCACTGAAGAAGATTTCACTTAATATAATTATCTAGAAATAATTTTCCCTTTTAAAAAGCATTTCTAAAGGTATGTATATTACATGCCATAAACCAGACTTGAGAATGAAGTAGTTTTGCTTCTTGATCTGTACAGCTGACAGCAGTGATGATGGTAGCAGCATAATGTGGCTTTTTTATTATAAGAATGATGGATTTAATATTGTGTAAATATCATGCATCTTCAGGATAATTTTGTTGCAACTGTGGCATATTCTGCATTGTATCTATAGTCTTTACTTCTGCTGCCGGTCCTGATTTTAGTTAGTACTTTCGGTCTCCTAAAACTTGGAAAAAATAATGCAAAGCAAATATAGCTATTGTTTCCATCCATCCTTTCTCCCAAGCTTTTGGGGAAAGGAAGGAAATGTACTAAGTGTTACGCAGTATTTCTTAGGCTTACATTGAAAAAATCCAGTCCTCTCAAGGTATTTTATCTGCTTCTGGCTAATGCTACCTTTTTTGTGTGTAGCTTTGCTTTTAATTTAACATCTTTGTCACTCTCATATTATTTTGCAGCCTGCTTTAGAATATATTATTAACTCATTTTAAGGATTGGCAGATGCTTTCACCTTGCTACTTCTTACATTATAAGGCCCCAGAGGTCACTGGAGAATAACATACTTCTGATCTATAGCTGAATAAAAGCTGAACTCTGCAATTATTCCAGTTAATGCATCACACTACATAAAGAATAGTAATCTCCAGTATTATCTTTATATATTTAGGTCCTGCAATAGATTTCTAAATAGACAGTAAATATGTAAAGCATAAAACACATGTGGGCTGCTACTTACAAGAGTAGTAATACTGAAGTTAGCAGCTTTATGGACCTAGTAACAGCTAGCAAAAATATCTCTACTCAGAAGATTTTTCCTTGATGATACTCCTTTTGTCCCAAGGGGGAGAAAAGTTTGCTTTCTTTTATGATTTTAGTTTGGAGATTAATTACTTTCTGGCAATGTTTAAAGAAGCAAATCTGCTGAATGACTAGAATATTGTCATCACACCAATGCTGATAAACAAATCTTATGAGCAATGATTGTTGTCTTTTTGCAGATGACATTAAAGTATCTGTAAATGATTTTATTATCAAGGCAACTGCAGTCACTCTGAAGGTAAGTGAATAATTGACTTTAAAAAAATATGTTTTATAGCAAACTGCCAAGGAGAAAAGAGTGTTTTGTTAGCCTATATGGAGTTATGAATGCGATCATAGCAATGCTTGTAATTCTTTATCGCTTATTGTTAGGATTTTTTAAGCTCTCCAGGTAAAATTCTCTACACTGTCTATACTGTGGACTGTAAAAATGAGAACTTCTTAATAAAGATCCACTTATTACAGTTACCATCTGCAGATAATGGTGGATGGTTTGTCAGCAGACTAAAGCAATTGGCAAGATAAGTCTTCTGTTCTTTGCTGTTACATCTTATTTTCTTTTGCAGTTATAAACAAATATTTATCCAAGTCTTATACCAGTCTTATGTATTACTTCAGATGTATTCTGATGGCATATTCAGTGACCTCTACTTTGAATTAGAAATTCTTCAGGCAACCAATCTTTGCTCATTGCTAAAAATTTTCATTGTTCCCTCTCTCAATGTAAAAGTTAAACAATTGCAGTACATCTTGAAGTTAAGATCTTAAATTTCATTAGGGTCTACTTATTCCATGCCAAACTACAGAGACTTCACAGTCTCCATAAGCTATTTCTGTGTTCTCTGGGTAGAACTGGATACGTTGCCCTCTAATTTGTGTCGATGGCTCTGCTTGGAAAACATTGCTAGTGCCACTAAATTTTTTGAAATTGTAAGGTTTCAGAGATCCTTCTTTATAACTCCCACACTTTGGAACTGTGTCTTCTTAGTCCAGAGTGTCTCAAATATAATCACTTGGAAAACATAATGTGAAATTAATCTTATTTCCAAGCTTATGAAAAGAAAGAACTGTGATGGTTTCATTTAGATGTGGAGTGGTTTTGGTATAAATTCAGTTTGCACTTAATTTTAGAGTAAGTCATAGGTGGGTGCTCTGACCAGCCTGAAGGCCGGTATTTTTAAGGTTCAGGAGGAAATAGTGTCTTTACTGATCACTAACACCTGGAAAAGATCTCTCTCATGTAGAAAGATAATTAAGGGGGACACATGCTTGATCTCTCAACTGTCCTGTGGAGTTTGCCCTCGTCATCAAGGCAATGTACTTATGTGTGACAAGGAATGAATGCAGATGTTGAAGCAGTTTGATATTGCTGTAGATTTGTTACCTATACCTTCTTGATTGCACAGTGATCACACCTTGTAGCTATATGGTAAATGCCTAGAAAAGCTAAACTCTTATGATATCATTGCATCATTTGAGCAGTGGGTTCTAAAAGAATGGAATTAAGAGAGAACAGTGCACTGGAATGGACTAAAACCAAACGTGATCTGAATATTAATGTATATTTGCCAGAGCTATAGATTTTGACAGAAAAAAGATAAGATTCTAGGCAGTTTCATAAGGAAATGCCTGAGAGAAATTCTGGGCATTGGATAGACTGGAAAAAACTTCCCAAGTTATTCTATACCAGAAAAAGAAGGAGGAGCTAGATATGCTTGCTATGCATTTGTTAGATGTGAACATAGCAAGAAGCTTCTTTTTGTGACCTAGTGAGACTTTATGCAACGAAATGGTGACATCCAAAAATTACTGTGAACTGCTAGCTGTGAGCGTGGCATAACAAATCTCTGCACCAGCGAGCAGGTGAAAGTAACAGGAGATAGAGAGAGGAATGAAAGATTAGGTTTTGTGTTTTTCTCTTCCACACAAAAAAAAGACCAGTCAAGAAAGATAATGGGATGTAATCCTAGTTTACCATTTGTCTATTTGTGAAAGAATGACTTGAATACAAGCATCCAATGTACTTTTTATTACTTCTGCTTATAAAAGTTTTTTGTTGTTATCTGTGGATTTTTTAAATTGCTGTCTGAAAATTAAAAGACAAGTAGCTTCCTGTTTATTTAACTATTAGGCTGCTTTACTGTACTTTGAAGGAGCATACATGTGGATCATGCATGTTGTTCGTAGCCATTATTCAAAACAAGATTTCCTTCTCTGCCATCACAAAGTGACATAACTAATGAATTCTGTAAAAATTACTTCTCTTTCTGATATGCAAATAAAAATATTTAGTCTGTGATTAGATTTGTATTCTTTATCTTAGTATTTTCAGCTGACACTTCTAATACAGAATTTGAATCTTGAACTTAAGGATTAGAACAGTTCTATGCTGTGAACATGAGAAACTCATCTGTAGCGTGTCATCATAGAATCATAGAAAGGTTTGGATTGGAAGGGACCTCAAAGATCATCTAGTTCCAACCCCCCTGCCATGGGCAGGGACACCCTCCAATAGAGCACCCTTCCAACCTGGCCTTCAACACTTCCAGGGATGGGACATCCACAACTTCTCTGGGCGACCTGTTCCAGTACCTCATCACCCTCACAGTAAAGAATTTCTTCCTAGTATCTAATGTAAATCTACCCTCTTTTCAGTTTAAAGTCATTACTCCTTGTCCTATCACTTGTAAAAAGTCCTTTTCCAGCTTTCTTGTAGGTCCCCTTTAGGTTCTGGAAGGACTCCAGTCTCCCTGGAGCCTTCTCTTCTCCAGGCTGAACAATCCCAACTCTCTCAGCCTGTCTTCATAGGAGAGGTACTTCAGCCTTCTGATCATTTTTGTGGCCCTCCCCTGTACTTGCTCCAGCAGGTCCATGTCTTGTATTGGGGACCCCAGAGCTGGACACAGTACTCCAGGTGGAGTCTCATGAGAGTGGAGTAGAGAGGCAGAATCACCTCCTTTGACCTACTGGTCACCTGCTTTGATACAGCCCAGGATACGATTGGCTTTCTGTGCTGCAAGCACACATTGCTGGGACTTGTTGAGCTTGTCCACTAACACCGCCAAGTCCTTCTCCTCAGGGCTGCTCTCAATCCATTCTCCACCCATCTTGTATTTGTGCTGATAGCCACAAGTGGTTGGGCTTAGTAACAACAGCCGCTATAGCATCCGTCCTTTAAAAATAAACAGTCTTTCATTGCTGAAATGATGGGAGAAATAATACTGCCTGGTCTACATCAAAATTAAGAGTATTCTAATCATACTGAAGTTGATAGGAAAAACTCCTTGTCCCTAACATCTGTTTTGTATACCTTATATAGAGAGTCATACTTGCACCACACCCACTTGAAGGCATCTTACAACTGTGCATACTGTGGGACTTTCCTGTAATTTATTTAACTTGCAAAGAGGAGTAATACCATCCTTTTTCCTTTTTTTTTGAATATACATTCTAGTGTTGAAGAATAGGAACTGAGAGTACTATTACACCATTTCTTCTAGGAGTGGAGTTGGTTTAGATAATGTGTTCCTCCTGCACTTTTTTTCTGGAATACCTACTCCATTATGAAGTCAACTTCCTAATTCCTGATTCATTAAGGACACTGAATACTAATCTTGGATTTATTGTAAATAGTACCTTCACAGTATCTATTACCAGTTACCTGAGATTTACCTGAGATGTTGGGGTTGGTTTTTCTCCCGAACTGTTTCAGCTTCTCAAAAATTTGGTTGAAATTATCAGTAAACATTATCTCAATTTTAATTGAGTCCACACACACACACACACAAAAAAAAAGCCTGATGCATTTTAGGAGAACCTTATCTGAAAAACAGTGAGTGTACCTGCAGCGTATTCTATTTGTAGCTTCCTTTGTTAAGAGTCATGCTTGAGACATGAGTGGAAAACAACACGCAGGTATAGTAGGATGTCCATTTCCCTGCTTTTTAATGACACTGGTATCAGTGACTCTGAAGGAATTTGTAGGCTTTTGTTACTTTTTTTTCCAGCAGCACCAAAAAACCTTCTGGCTGCCCTGCTATTTTCAGTTTCTGGAGCATACATTCATGCTTTTTGACAAAGTAAGTTTAAATAAAATAAAATAAAGGTAAACTAATCGTATACATCTATTCTTAGACCCTCACTGTGATTATTTTTTTTTTTTGCCTTGCTCGTGGCAGTCCTGCTGACAGACGTGACTGACCTGTTCTTTTGCCTACATTTGCACACAGCTGTCTGTGATGCATTAATTTGGTGAATGCCTCTATGTAGCTATGTGTTTTAAAGGATTTTCCTTTTTCTTGATAATTGATTGCATCTTTGTTCTTTTAACAGCTGTCTGTTTTTACTCACTCTCTTCTAGCAAATGCCAGATGTGAATGTAACCTGGGATGGAGAAGTCTGTAGGCAGCTGCAGTCCATTGACATTTCTATTGCTGTGGCAACAGACCGAGGTCTTATTACACCAATCATAAAAAATGTTGCTGCCAAGGGAATAAAGGAAATTGCTGCCTCTGCAAAGGTAGGTCTTAAATGTATGGTAGGCTGAGGAATATAGTAGCTATATAGTTTTTTTGTAGCAGAAAACATAGCGTCACAGAGATACACATTAATAATAACAAAGGCAGTTTCAAAATCATCTAAAGCAGTTTCAGCAGTCCTTAGATTTCAAAATTATTATTAATTTTGCAAGTATATTGATTTTTAATTAACAGTAACTTAGCCATGATATTATTGAGTTGAATGCTGGCTAGACTGTTTGAAAAATAAACCTGTACAGACTTCTGCAATTTAATATAGTTGTATTTCTTTAATCCTCATGAGAAAGATAGATAATGTTAATTTCTTTAGTATTTCCAGTCTTTGAGTTTAAGATTTTGTTTGTTTGGGAGGAGTTTTGCTCCCATTCTCAGAAATTTGCTTGTAGCTGCTTGTGTTACTCTCTGTGTAGTAATATTATGGCACTTATTTCTGTCTGCATTTTTTCAATATGGAGTTCAGCTCTAACACAAGCCTTTTTTTGTAATTTAATGAGTGCTAATCAAAGGCCTACAGCATCTGAGGAATGCAGTGGAAGTAGTGCTGGGGTGTAAAACTGTCCCAAAACTAGACACAAGGTGCACTTTGTAAATTTTTGTCTTTTACCGAAAACTACAGGAATCTTAATAGTCTGCGTTGGCAGAGGGGAACAACCAAAAAAGTTGTAGCAGAAAAAGGCATGACTGTCATGCCACAAAACATCCATAACTGGATGTTTTAAAGATTTTTTCAGCCTATATTGCTTACTTCATGTTGAATGTGTTGTGAAAGTAAATCCTTTCACTAATATAATAGCCAGCCAAGGAGGAAGGTCAGGTGAGATTGTTGCATTATTCTGTGATTAGCAATAGAATGACAAGAAGAAAAGCATTATGAGAAGTGAAGTATAGGTTGAACTTTCATTATCATCCCAAATACCTGTGATACTGTGATGCAGTATTACAAACCTCTCTTACCATAAATTACAGTGTCCTGCAGTTCGCATGATGGGAACGTAGGCTTACATTATGTTCAATAGGGCTATAATAAAGTAAGCATTCCCCTTTCATTTGAAATGGAATGTGTGTAACATTGGTCACACTACTCAATATGAAAGTCATTGGGTCACATAGATTGCAGGTGTCCACACCAACATAATTTTGCTTTTCAACTTCTTCACTGAATTATTGAAATAAATATATAGCTGACATACACATGTGGGAGGCACAAACTGAAACTGCAGCTGCTTTTCTACCAGTCTCCCTGTAGTTTGGCAGGTGCTTTCTTTGTGTAGATTACTTATATGTCCCCTTCTGCAGCATGTTAATTTTAACTTCTTTTCAGGTCACGTGCATCCTAGCACTGTATTTTCATCATTCGAATAATGCAATGGCACATACAAGTTATGCTCATATTGACCTTATTGTGTGAATGCTGTTCCCATGGCTGTTGTCTTCTGGTTCACTAATTATTCAGAGATGAATAAAAGCCTAAAATAAAATTCAATATACCGTTTAACTTTTACATTCATAATAAGGGTGTCAAAGGTTTGTAAAACTTGGTGTAAGCTTGAGTATTTAGTGAGCAATTCATTAGAATGAGAGTCTCTTTAATTTCTTGATATTTATTTCTAAGCTGAAGTCATTGCAGTCATTATACTACCATGGCCTTTCAGAACCCTTACCTCAAAGATGTTTAGAAATGTATATAGAGAAGACAGCTATTTGCCATGACCAACAGAGTTATATTAAAACATGAAAGGAGATTAATCCATGTCAGAACTATAACTACTGACAAACTCATCTGGGCAAAAGTTTATCTTGTAATGACTCTACCTCCATCCACATGCAAACAAAAAGAAGTCAATTCAATCATAGTTTATACTTACTGACTCTGGTCCTTAAAGGCAGGGTTGAGGTTTCATAGAAATTGCCTCTTTGTAGATTGAGTTGAGTGCTTGACAGGATATTCATAGAATGCATGTAGAAATCCCTGGAAAGCAGAACGGGCAATTCCTAGAAAGCAATGTAGAAACTTAAAAAAAAGAAAAAAAAAACCCAACCGAAACCCAAGGTCAATTCCTAGAAAGAACATGGAAAATATCCTAGAAAACAGTGGTAGAATTCCTAATTAAGGGAGTGGAAAATTCCTAGAAAACAGAGGGGATTCATAGAATAATCTTCTCCAAGAAAGTTTCACAAATTTGATATATCACTTTTTTCATGTTGTGATAAAGTAGATTTTTTTTTTTGTTTTATTCACGTCCACTGAAATTTCTGTAACATAATTAAATGATTGGAAACTGTCATTATTTTTATTGTTTTTACCAGAAGAAAGAAAATATAAACAGACTGTGTTGTTTTTATCAGTCTTCCCAGAAGCAGATCTGAGTCTATTTCCCTGACTGTGCTTTTGGAAACAGTTATTTTTGTCTTTAAATGTCATAATGCTGCAAATGTCACAACGTGACATTTTTCATGTGCTTTTCCACCTGCGGAATAAATATGATTCAAGCCAAAAACACTAAATGTATTCTGTATGAATAGGATATGTCATCTGTCCTGCATATATTCCCACTTCAGTCTCTGCTGTCAGTTGAAGAGGTCCTCATTTTGAAAAGGTTGCTGCTAATGGAGAAGTCATCTGATACATTTCCAGTCACCACCTTTTCCATTGGGTACTCACAGGGTGTTAAGAACAGGTTGGTGGCTGAATAATTGGCTTTTGACCAACTGAGTGCCATTTTTCTTGACATCCACCCAGTCCTTCCTTATGTGACAGCTACTGTAAGAATTATTCATCCTGATGTGTCCAAAGGAGGGCAACAAAGATGGTGAAGGGTCTAGAGGGGAAGACGTATGAGGAGAGGCTGAAGTCCCTTGGTTTGTTCAGCCTAGAGAAGAAGAGACTGAGGGGAGACCTCATCATGGCTTACAGTTTCCTCACGAGGGGGAGTGAAGGGGCAGGCGCTGATCTCCTCCCTCTGGTGACCAGTGATAGAACCCAAGGGAACGGAATGAAGCTGCAACAAGGGAGGTTTAGGTTGGATATTAGGAAAAGGTTCTTCACTGAGAGGGTGGTCGGGCACTAGAACAGGCTCCCCAGGGAAGTGGTCACAGCACCAAGCTTGACTGAGTTCAAGAAGCATCTGGATAACGCTCTGATTTGGCTGGTCCTGTGTGGAGCCAGGAGTTGGACTCGATGATCCTTATGGGTCCCTTCCAACTCAGGATATTCTATGATTCTATGATTCCCACTGCTTCTGTCTAAAGAAGAGCTAGAATAGAAGCATCCTAGGTGGGAGTCATGGTTTTACCCCAGCTGGCAGCTGAGCACCATGCAGCTGCTCACTCACTCCCCCCCGCATCAGGATGGAGGAGAGAATTGGAAGAGTGAAAGTGAGAAAACTGGTGGGTTGAGATAAAGACAGTTTAATAAGTAAAGCAGAAGCCACATGCACAAGCAAAGCAAAGCAAAACAAGGAATTCATTCACCACTTCCCATAGGCAGCCAGGTGTTCAGCCATTTCTAGGAAAGCAGGGCTCTGTCACACGTAACGGTTACTTGGGAAGACAAATGCTATCACTCCCAACACTGCCACCCACCAGTCCCTCCTCTTCCCCAAGCCTCTTACAAAGTGAGCATGATGTCATATGGTATGGAATATCCCTTTGGTGAGTTTGGGTCAGCTGTCCTGTCTGTGTCTCCTCCCAACTTCTTGTGCACCCCCAGCCATCCTGCTGGCAGGGCAGTGCGAGAAGCAGAAAAACCCTTGGCTCTGTGTAAGCACTGCTCAACAATAGGTCCGTAGAACAAAAACATCTCTATATTATCAATACTGCCTGCAGCACAAATCCAAAACATAGCCCCACACTAGCTACTATGAAGAAAATTAACCCTCTCAGCTGAAACCAGGACAGTGGGCCTAAGGTTCTTTTTCTCTGATCTTATCTTAGAACATAGTATGAAGTTCTTGGGCTGGATTTTGAACAAAAAGTTTGTGGACAATTTCTTCTGTTATATTTAAAAGTAGAAAAGTCTCACAAATGAAATGGAGGTCACAGGAAGGGTGGTCTTTAAGGTAGTTGAATGCTTAGCTGGAAGAAATACATTCTGTCAATCTGCTAGAAAGGTCTGAGGTGGTACATGGCAGTTTCTTTAAACAAATATGTTAAGAAGAATACTGTGAATTTGTCTCATTAGTATTTTGCTAGATATTTTTGTCATGTAAAAACACCAGGGAGAATGTTGGTTCTGTTGTGAAAACTGGAGCAAGGTTTGTAGGGTAATAGAACAGCTTTTGTTGAACAGCCAGTATCATTGGGAAAAAGAAGTTTTCTGTCCTAGTGTCTTTGCCAAATTATTACAGCTAAAACAACAATGTTGCTGAGGTGCTTCCCTAAATGCAAAAACAGATGACATTTTAATGGCTGTATGGTACTTATAATGTCTTACTGAAGTAAAAAGAATTAGTCTGTTACAACACTTTAATTTATTTCCACTCTCCTTTTTCATCTTTCATTTTCTTTAGGCTCTAGCAAAGAAAGCAAGAGATGGAAAACTGTTACCAGAAGAGTACCAGGGAGGATCTTTTAGGTAAAACTCTCTAGGGGCATTCAATACATGCAGTGTGGGTTCAGAACTGGTTTATCCTCAGCTATTCCACTGTATGTTAATGCATTTAATGTATGTTAATTGCTTTTTAAAATACTCCATGTATCCTGTGTCTTGTACCAGAGGGAAACAATTATCTTGGTACAGGTTTTTTTCATTTGAGCCTTCTGTGAATTTCATTGTTTTCATACCAAGACTGGTCTGATGTTTATTTTTGCACCTAATTTTTCCCAGTTGCAGAAGAATGTGGGGGATTGTTTTTGTTGGGGTTTTTTTTTTTGGGGGGGGGGCGGGCATTAGATCACATTCTATAGTTAGGAAAACCCATTGATACTAGCTTAAAAATAAATATTTTAAAAGGAGTTGTTTGGCACAGGCATCACAGCAGATAGTGATATCCAGTTTGTCTTCAATTCACTCTTCAGAAGAATGTCTATAGAGGGGCAAAAAAAAAAGTTACAGCAAGGTTGTGGTGTTAACTCTTACAGTTTACTTTTAATTGAAACATTAAAAACCAAGTAGATTGATTTTAAATAGTAGCATATATTTAGTAAATATTTTTTTCTATAAAAGATACTCTGCAAAAAGAGCTAGCAAACTCAGCAATGGCATAAATGGCATGTGTAAAATACTAGCATAAATGTAGTGACACAGTTGCACAACTAATTTCTCCGCTGACTTTTTACAATTCCCAAGCTTATAAACCTTTTAACGTACTGTATTTTATGACACAGTATCATCAAGCAACATTTTTTATTGATATAAACTTTAGCTAAGCTCACTTTCTGACAATTTTTTAAAAGTTGATTCTGAATGCTTACATTAATCATATCTTCTAGAATAGAAAGAGTTCATAGATTCACAGATTGGTAGGGATTGGAAGGGACCTCTGGAGATCACTAGTCCAACCCCCCCCTGCTAGAGCAGGATCACCTAGAGCAGGTTGCACAGGATTGCATCCAGGCAGGTTTTGAGTATCTCCAGAGAAGGACACTCCACATTCTCTCTGGGCAGCCTGTTCCAGTGCTCTGTCACCTTCAAAGTAAAGAAGTTTTTTCTAATATTTTCGTGGAACT